CTAAGTGTTCTGATTACAATATTCCTTTGCACTAACTAATGTGATTACAATATTCCTTTGTACTAACTAGTGTGATTACAATATTCCTTTGTACTAAGAGTTGTGATTACAATATTCCTTTGTACTAAGAGTTGTGATTACAATTTTCCTTTGTACTAACTAATGTGATTACAATATTCCTTTGTACTAACTAATGTGATTACAATATTCCTTTGTACTAAGAGTTGTGATTACAATATTCCTTTGTACTAAGAGTTGTAATTACAATTTTCCTTTGTACTAACTAATGTGATTACAATACTCGTTTGTACTAACTAGTGTGATTACAATATTCCTTTGTACTAACTAATGTGATTACAATATTTCTTTGTACTAAGTGTTGTGATTACAATACTCTTTTGTACTAAGCGTTGTGATGACAATATTTCTTTGTACTAAGTGTTGTGATTACAATATTCCTTTTTACTAATTGTTGCGATTACAATATTCCATTGTATTAAGTGTTGTGATTACAATATTCTTTTGTACTAAGTGTTGTGATTACAATATTTCTTTGAACTAACTAATATTCCTTTGTACTAAGTGTTGTGATTACAATATTTCTTTGTATTAACTAATGTGATTACAATATCCCTTTGTACTAAGTGTTGTGATTACAATATTTCTTTGAACTAACTAATATTCCTTTGTACTAAGTGTTGTGATGACAATATTTCTTTGTATTAACTAATGTGATTACAATATCCCTTTGTACTAAGTGTTGTGATTACAATATTCCTTTGTACTAAGTGTTGTGATGACAATATTCCTTTGTACTAACTAATGTGATTACAATATTCCTTTGTACTAAGTGTTGTGATGACAATATTTCTTTGTATTAACTAATGTGATTACAATATTCCTTTGTACTAACTAGTGTGATTACAATATTCCTTTGTACTAAGTGTTGTGATGACAATATTCCTTTGTACTAACTAATGTGATTACAATATTCTTTTGTACTAAGTGTTGTGATGACAATATTTCTTTGTATTAACTAATGTGATTACAATATTCCTTTGTACTAAGAGTTGTGATTACAATATTCCTTTGTACTAAGAGTTGTAATTACAATTTTCCTTTGTACTAACTAATGTGATTACAATATTCCTTTGTACTAACTAGTGTGATTACAATATTCCTTTGTACTAACTAATGTGATTACAATATTTCTTTGTACTAAGTGTTGTGATTACAATACTCTTTTGTACTAAGTGTTGTGATGCAATATTTCTTTGTACTAAGTGTTGTGATTACAATATTCCTTTGTACTAAGAGTTGTGATTACAATATTCTTTTGTACTAAGTGTTGTGATTACAATATTTCTTTGAACTAACTAATATTCCTTTGTACTAAGTGTTGTGATTACAATATTCCTTTGTACTAAGTGTTGTGATTACAATATTCCTTTGTACTAAGTGTTGTGATGACAATATTTCTTTGTATTAACTAATGTGATTACAATATCCCTTTGTACTAAGTGTTGTGATTACAATATTCCTTTGTACTAAGAGTTGTGATTACAATATTCCGTTGTACTAAGAGTTGTGATTACAATATTCCTTTGTACTAACTAATGTGATTACAATATTCCTTTGTACTAACTAATGTGATTACAATATTCCTTTGTACTAAGAGTTGTGATTACAATTTTCCTTTGTACTAACTAATGTGATTACAATATTTCTTTGTACTAACTAGTGTGATTACAATATTCCTTTGTACTAACTAATGTGATTACAATATTTCTTTGTACTAAGTGTTGTGATTACAATACTCTAACATATCATTTTGTGGATACCGTTCCACTAATATCAATGGGGCGAAATATCATAATGATGATTGATTTGGCATGTTTGTTATACTGTCGAGGTACAAGTCGTTGACCGTATTATTTCAGTGTGAAACGCATGTTTGTTTGCGCGTGTGTTTTACCAAAACGCCACGGACGCGAGTGCGATTAACTACAACTTTTCGTGACGGCATTGCGCTGTAACATACACTCCATAATGTACTTCCATTACTATACTTACAATGGTAAACATATCACAACGCATATACATACACTTTTATTACATTCAAGAGATTCCCTTGAACCCCCGATGACCTTATATCTGCATTTAACAACTAAAGACTTGTCTTTAGCCAAAGTCACGTACCCATTTTCACTATAGACTGTAAGTTTTACAAGATAAAATAAAACGAGTCACGGTAAATAAGTTTACTGAATGGCAATGGTTTGACCAAGTCAAATAACACTTGGATCGTGGAAATCTTGGCGAGGGTTGGCGAAGATTGTGGGATTCATAGTGCTTATGTAATGTATTATATAGTGATTGAACAATGTATGTACACATAAAACATACTTACTTCGTAAATTTGTCGTATAATTGTGTATTATTCATAGTTCAAACAAACACACCTTGATATGAATAGTTTAGCCCAGTTACCCTATTTTAGCTGAATTGTTACAAGTACATGAACTCACTTGTGACCGCATTGTACTACACTATCACACACCATATCGCCTACTGAATCGCTATGGCAAATGTATTACATGTTCCTGTGATAAGCTCTCTATTCTTGGCTATTTTACCTGCCGTATTTGCCGTGGACGTGCTCATTCTTGGCGCCGGGGCGTCAGGAATCGCTGCAGGAAAGCACCTTCACGACAATGGAGTGACAGACTTTCTTATCCTCGAAGGAAGCAACCGAATTGGTGGCCGTTTAAAGGAGGTGCAGTTCGGGGGGAAGACAGTAGAAGTTGGAGCGAACTGGATACAACCCGGCGACACATCAGTTAACCCATTAGCATCTTTGTCAGAATCACTGGAAATTGCAGGAAACGTTTCGGCATGGGACAGTTTCATATTTCGTGGACAGAATGGTGAAAATTTGACTGACGAAGCATTATCAGAATATCCTGCATTCGAGAGTGCGTTGGATTACATCTATGAGTTAGCGGAAGATCTCATTGACAATGACAAACCGGACATGTCCGTGCGCTCTGCTTTACGTCTTGG